GGGGTGGGAACTGGGTGGAGGGGAGTTATGGTGGGAAAAAAGAGGAACCAATGTAATAATCTGAACAATAAAGATTTAATTAAAAAAAAGAGTGGTGAAAGCGGTCTCTCTCTTGGTGTGCTAGACTCTTGGGTTGATGGCAGGAGATGCGCTCCCTATTACCCACATGGCTTATGGCCATATGGGCCTCCACACATGGACTTTAATTAGCTGGGATGCTGAACCACTCTGACAGTAACGTGGAAAGGAAGCTCTGGACACTGGCCTGCTCCTGGAACCCCAGTTGCACCTTTTCCTGGACTGGCTTCTCTAAAAAAAAAAACTTTGATTCCACTAAAAAAAAATGGGCCAAGAAGGAGATCAGGCAAAGAGTGGTGAAAGTGGACATCCTTGTCTTGTTCCTGTTCTTAGGAGAGATGATTTTAGTTTTGGCCCATTAAGTATGATGTTGGCTGTAGATTTGTCATATATGGCCTTTTTCATGTTGAGATATGCTACCTCTATTCCCACTTTGCTGAGAGTTTTTATCAAAAATGGGTGTTGGATTTTGTCAAATGCTTTTTCTGTGTCTATTGATATGATCATGTGATTTCTGTCTTTCAATTTGTGTATTTGATGAATCACGTTTATTGTTTTGTGAATACAGTACCAGCTTTGTATCCCTGGAACTAATCCCACTTGGCCATGGTGTATGATCATTTTAATATACTTCTGGATCCAATTTGCTAATATTTTGTTGAGGAGTTTAGCATCTATGTTCATCAGGGATATTAGCCTATAATTCTCTTTCTTTGTTGTTTCTTTTTTTTTTAATATTTTTTTTTTATTGATTTTTTACAGAGAGGAAGGGAGAGAGATAGAGAGTTAGAAACATCGATGAGAGAGAAACATCGATCAGCTGCCTCCTGCACACCCACTACTGGGGATGTGCCCGCAACCCAGGTACATGCCCTTGACCGGAATCGAACCCGGGACCCCTCAGTCCACAGGCCGACGCTCTATCCACTGAGCCAAACCGGTTTCGGCTGTTGTTTCTTTATCTGGTCTAAAATTCAGGATGATGCTGGCCTCATAAAAAGAGGTTAGAAGTGTTCCTTCCTCTTGGATGTTTTGGAGTAGTTTGATGAGTATAGGTGTTAGTTCTCATTTGAATTTTTTGTAAAACTCACCTGTGAAGCATCTGGACCAGAGCTTTTATTATTATTATTTTTTTTATTGCTTCAATGTAATCAGTTGTTATTGGCCTTTTGGTGTTTTCTGATTCTTCCTGATTTAGTTTTGAGATATTGTAATTTTCTAGGAATTTGACCATTTCATCCACATTGTCCAGCTTGTTGGCATATAGCTGTAAATAGTATTTTCTTATAATTTGTATTTCTGTGGTGCTGGTTATTACTTCACTCTTTTGTTTCTGATTTTATTTATTTGGGTCCTCTCTCTTTGTTTCTTGATGAATCTGGCTAATGTCCACCAATCTTTTTTATCTTTTCAAAGAGCCAGCTCTTGGTTTCATTGATATTTTTGTATTTTTTTTTTAGTCTCTATGTCATTTATTTCTGCTCTAATCTTTATTATTTTGTTTCTTCTACTTACTCTGGGGTTTTCTTGTTGTTCTCTTTCTAATTCTTTAAGCTGTAGAGTTAAATAGTTTATTATTAATTTTTCTTATTTTTTGAGGTAGGCCTGTAGTGCTATGAACTTCCTTCTCAGGACTGCTTTTGCTGTTTCCCAGAGATTTTTGGTTGCTGTGGTTTCATTTTCATTTGTTTCCAGGAAGTTTTTGATTTCTTTCTTGATCTCATTGGTAAACCATTCATTGTTTAATAACATGCTGTTTAGCTTCCATGTGTTTGAATGTTTCTGGGTGTTTTTACTGTAGTTGATTTCTAATTTCATTCCACTGTGGTCTGAGAAGATGCTTGATATGATTTCAATCTTCTTGAACTTGTAGAGACTTGTTTTGTGTCCTAACATGTGGTCTATCTTTGAGAGTGACCCATGTGCATTTGAGAATGTATATTCTGAAGCTTTGGGGTGTAATGTTCTATAAATGTTGATTAAATCCATCTGATCTAGTATATCATTTAGACTCTGTTTCCTTGTTAATTTTTTGTCAGGAAGATCTATCCAGTGAAGTCAGCAGGGTGTTATAGTCCCTTACTATGACTGTATTGCTGTTGATCTCTCTTTTAAAGTTCTCTAGGTTTTTAAAAAATATATTTAGGTGCTCCTATATTGGGTGCATATATGTTTACTAGGGTTCTATCCACTTGTTGGATTGATCCCTTTAGTATTATGTAGTGACTTTTTTTTGTTTGAAGTCTATTTTATCATATATGAGTATTGCTATCCCACCTTTTATTTTGTTTCCATTTCCATGGAATTTTTTTTTCCATCCCTTCACTCTCATCCTGTGTGAGTGTTTTGTTCTGAGATGGGTCTCTTATAGACAGCATATAATTGGGTCATATTTTTGTATACATTCAGCTACTCTGTATCTTTTGATTGGAGCATTCAATCCATTTACATTTAAGGTTATTATTGATAGATACTTACTTATAGCCATTTTCATTCTTTATGCCTATCTCTCTCTCTCTCTTTCTCATTACAGAAGTTCTTTTAGCATTTCTTGCATTGCTAGTTTGGTGGTGATAACTCCTTTAGCCTTTTTCTTTTAATGGTCTGGGAAGCTCTTTATTTCACTATCTATTTTGAATGATAACCTTGCTGGATATAGTAATCTTGGTTTCAGATCCTTGCTTTTCATTACCTTGAATACTTCATGCCATTCCCTCTGGCCTGTAGAGTTTCTGATGAGAAATTAGCTGACATCCTTATGGGCGCTCCTTTGTAGGTAACAAATTGCTTTTCTCTTGCTGCCTTTAAGAGTCACTCTTTGTCTTTAGTTTTTGGCATTTTAATTATGATGTGTCTGGGCGTGGGACTGTTTGCGCTCTTGCATGGGACTCTCTGTGCCTCCTGAACTTTTGTGACATTTCTCTTTACCAGGTTAGGGAAGTTTTTGCCATTATTTCTTCAAACATGTTCTCTATGCCTTGCTCATTTCTTCCCCTGCTGGCACTCCCATGATGCAAATATTGTTATGTTTCATGTTGTCCCACAGGTCCCTTAAGCTTTGCTCATGTATTTTAATTGTTTTGTTTGTTTGCTTCTCTGATTGAGTGATTTTTTTTTCTATCTTGTCTTCTAATTCACTGATTTATACTTGGCTTCCCTTAATCTGTTGTATATTCCTTCCAATTTGTTCTTTATTAGTTCTATGTCAATCTTTATTCCCAACTGATCTTTTTTCAGTTATTATATCATTTCTCATGCTGTTGAGTTTCCTTGCCATCATTATTCTGAACTATATATCTGATAAATTTCTTCTCTTCATTCCATTTAGCTCTTTTTCTAGAGAATTCTCCTGTTTTTTCACTTGGGGCTTGATTTTTTGTCTCCCCATTTTGGCTGCCTGTTTGGGTTTGTGTCTATGTATTAGATAGATCTGCTTCTACTCCCAATATCTAGTGCAGGACAACGTCAGACACTATTTGTGACTGGTCCTGAGTACGCTGTTTGGAGCTATCACCAATCCACAGCTTGTGGCTCCCTCTGCTGGGGCTGGGTGCCTTTGGAAATGACCAAGATGTGCTTTTCCTAACCCTGGGCCAAGAAGGAGATCAGGCAAAGACTCAAAGCTTCTAGAGATCTGCCTCTGCCTGCAGTCTAGTCTTGATTAGTATCAGGATATTGACCATGGAGTGGGGTGAGAGGTCTTCCAGCAGGGTTGGGAATTGCCTTTTCCCCAGGTCAAAACTGCCTAGATAGCCAAGGTCCACCAGAGAAAGATGTCCTTCACAGGGTGCAAGAATGACTCAGCACAGGAAACTCTGTTGGTTGCCCTCCGAGCTCCAACCCCAGATCTCCCAACCCTAGACTCTCCTCACTCAGCTTTAGTCTACTTTGCCCTCCCTCTGCTGGAGCCCAACGTGAGTGGCTGCACATGAAATTTTGTGCATTGGCCCTTTAAGAGGGTGCCTGCATTTCTAGCTGTCTCTCTCAGGCAGACAGCAACCCTGCTGCTTTTCACAGCCTGATGTTATGTGGACACCGTTATCATTTCTGATGCTGTGGGCTGGGGTGCCTAGCTGGGGGTTTAGACCCCAAGGTTCTCAGTGGGAACTCCCACAGCTGAGACATCCCTCTGGAACTTTAGCTGGTGTCTGAAGGAGTCTAGCCAGCCCTTTTGAGCCTCTGCCCTTCCTATTAGACTCCATGTGGTCTCCTCTTTCCGTCCTTAGTTATCAGGGTTCTCTCCAGCTAGTCTTCAGTTGATTTTTCAGGGTGGTTTTTCTATAACTTTAGTTGTATTTCCAGTTTGGTCCTGGGAGAGTGTCAGTGTACCTTCCACTTACTCTGTTGGCATTTTTGAATCCCATATAAAATTATCAACTTAAAATTCAACCTGTTATATTTGGTCAAACATGTAATTAACTGACCCATAATGCATTGGCAGGGCCAGACCAAATGATTTGAAGGCCCACAGGCCAGATGTTCCCCACCCCTGCTTAAAAGAGAGGGGAGGAAAAGGAAAAGCCCAGTGTGATTGTGAGTTTTTAATAGTCAAGAAAAGGGTTTCATCATGAAGTGGGCAGTATCTTCAGCTCCTCATTCACTAGATTCACATTACAGGTGACGCGCAGACAAGAGTTGCCTCAGGCCTTCCCCTCCCCTTGTTTTAATGATTTATAGTGTGTTTTAGGAAACATACATACTTTTTCTCCTAATGGGTCCCACTGAAATGATCTGTTCTTTAGGTTCTTTGGTATATTCTGTGGCAATCCTGGAATTTTGTGGGCAATTCTGAAAGACAGAACACCAGGGGAAATTTTACACGATCAGGCTGGTATCTCTTTTCCACCATGTTTCCACCTCCCGAGGCAGTGGTTGCAGCCCCGAGCACCATCACTGTTCAGATTAATGTGCCCAATGCCTTCTCGATCACAGAGCCCCCGGACTCTAGGCTCTCTGTTGAAGAGACTTAAATGTATTCTCCGCACTAGAATTAGGTGCATTCCTGGGAATGAGGAGTGCTGTATCTCATCAGACACTAATTATGCAGCAGCACGTGGAAGAAGCTCTGACTATAATTCACATCTCAATTTTGTAAATATGGGGTAAGCAGGAAGCTGGAGTGTTAAAGGTTAGGGACCAGTGCAATAAAATCTTAGTGACATTAGCCATACAGGTAGGAAATACACCTGGCGTGGAAGAGAGGATTGGTTTGTCACCTCATCCCCCTCGCCCTTCCAGAGCCTCAGGCCCTGGCATGGCTCTGGATGAGCGGCAGGGCAATCCCTGGCTAAGGAACACCTAGATGGCCTGGCAGGTGTGGCTCAGTGGTTGAGCACTGTCCTATGCACCAAGAGGTCACAGTTCGATTCCTGGGTTGCGGGCTTGATCCCCAGTAGAGGGCATGCAGGAGGCAGCCAATCAATGATTTTCATCATTGATGTTTCTATCTCTCTCTCTGTCTCCCTTCCTCTCTGAAATCAATAAAAATATATTTAAAAACTATAAGTAAAGAATAGCTGGATAAAGTGCATCTTGAACCAGGAGTTTGCTTCTCAGTGGAGTGAAGGTTGGCCCCAGTGTCCACCTCAGATTCAGGTGACCTGGCTCCTTGAGACTCTGATGCAGGTGTTCTCAAATGGGCCGCCTTTGCCCCCAGGGGCCAACTGGCAATGTTAGGAGACATTTTGGGGTGTTTGAGCTGGAGGAGCTACAGGCATCTAGGGGGTAGAGGTCAGGGAAGCTGATAAATGTCCGACGATGCACAGAACAGTCTCCACCCAAAGAATGATTTGGTCCAAATGTCAGCAGTGCCGGGTTTGAGAGACCCTAACCTGGTGTCACACTGGACAGGTGGACACTGCGGAGACAGAGGGGTCAGTGGCACTGTTCTGCTGTGTCCTCTCTCTCACTGTCTCCCCAGAGGTGACTGCTGCTTGCAAGCCCCCGAGGACTTCCAGGGGCCGTGAGACCTGAAGGACCCTGAGGAGTCACATAGACCCTGGCACGTGTGACCCATGTTGGGAGATGGGGCAGCGAGATTCACTCACTATTTTGCAGGAGTACTTCTCCGAATCGCAGAGTGACACTGCACAGTGAAGATGGACTTCATCATAATCCCCGATGAACTTGAAGACTGTGACGTGAAAGCGGCAGGTGAGGGAGACCCCATTCTCCTCGATGCCAATGGTGTTGTCTTTAATGTTCTGACACCTATTCAGAAAAAATACCTTTGCTTCTTATTTTCATACTAGAGGCCTGGTGCACAAATTCGTGCATGGGTGGGGTCCCTCTGGGTGGCCTGCAGGGATAGGGCCAAAACCTGCAGTCCAATGCCACCTGCTGCTCCCACTCATCCTGGCCCCACTGTGCCTGCCGTGGGCTCCCGCCCAATCAGTCCTGATCAGGAAAGGCTCGAACTGCCACAGGAGCACTCGCCAGCCAGGAGCCCTGTGTCTGGCGCCCTCCCAAGGGGAGTGGCCTGCGGGATTGGGCTGAAACCAGCTCTCTGACATCCCCCAAGGGGTCCCAGATTGCGAGAGGGCACAGGCCAGGCTAAGGGACCCCACTGGTGCACAACTGGGCCAGGGAGGGACCGCAGGAGGGTTCAAGGGCATGTCTGGCCCATCTTGCACAATCCCGATTGGCTGGACCCCAGCAGCAAGCTAACCTACCAGTCAGAGCATCTGCCCCCTGGTGGTCAGTGCACGTCATAGCAACTGGTTGACCAGTTGACTGTCTGCCCCCTGGTGGTCAGTGCACATCATAGTGAGCGGTTGAGCAGCCTTAGCATATCATTAGCATATTACGCTTTGATTGGTTGTTCAGTTGTTCTGCCGTTCGGTCTATTTGCATGTTACCCTTTTATTATATAGGATTTCATATAAAACCATTGTAAATTTGTAAAAATGCCTTTGCATGTGAAAGTGACCTCTGGATTGTGTGGGTTTGGCATGTATGACCACGTCCTCATATTTATATCGTTTGTTTTAAAAACATCAAATAGCACCTCCAATTAGGACCCTAACTGCATCTAAAAACAGAATGACTGTGGGGATGGAACTCAGTTTCCCTACGTTTCAGCTTCTTATGCTGCTCCCTCACACTGCTGTGGGCTATGATATCAGGTTAACAAACTCAAGGTTACTTCTGTATGTTCTTCACCATCCATTTTGGGAGGAGCCCCTGATTCAACCCTGTTGGGAGTTCTTCCCACACTGAGACTTGCAGCTGAGATAAAGCCGTCAGGGATGAGCGGGAGCACTGCTCGGAGGCAGGCAGCCTCTTCTCTCCTCCGGTGGCACTGACAGCGGGAGCCGCCCTCGGGCCCGCAGATCTTGCCTCCGGGACTTAGAGTTCCCCAAATGTTCAATCTCATGCCCCGGGTCTTCTCACGTCATGTCTGCCCACCTGGGAGTCTCTGCAGCTCATCCCGCTCAGCACCTGCTCTTCCTCCCACACCAGCCTAGGCTTCCCTCCTTTGTAAATGTTCCCTCCCGCAGCGGCCAGGCAGGAACAAGGGGCTGCTCCTGGTTGGCCAGTAGCGCTGCTGAGCCCCTGGAGTGCAAGAATCAAGCTATGCCCCCCAGGGTGCCTCCCTCACGCACAGGGCATGCGGAGTCTGCGCTGGACGCAGGAATTGAAGTGACGCATTGTGCTGCGTGGCCCAGGGCGGCTCATTGGAGCTAAGAGGTTCTTTACATGATAAAGATACAAGGGGGACTCTTTCCTTAGTTGCCTTCCCCCAGCACACAGAATTAACTAACTCAATAGGAGAATTATAAACGAAAACAGTTCTTCACCATCCCTATACCTATTCAGTTTTTTACTCAGGCTTCAATGCAATAGTTTCTTAAATGCGCTGAAACAAAAACTTGCTAGACTGTTTCTTGTCACTGTTACTATGTGAATAATCTAAGTTGGCTCAAAGATTCTAAAACAGTCATAGCCCTGATATGCAAGCCCCTCCCGCTTAACCAGACCCCCAGCTACGAGAGATTACTTAGGTTTTGGTCTCAGAAGAACATGGAACCGAAGGAAGGGGCCCAGGGGAGCAGAGCTGGGCTGTTTGCGTGCTGCCTGCGTGTGAGCCAGTCAAGCTCTAGAATTCTCTGTCCACCCCGAGGAGAAAGCTCCCCAACCCCTCCCCCCCCACCCGCCTAGGCACCCGGAGAGGAGCGGGAGTGACTTGCATGTACCCAGGCTACTTTCCGAGTCACTGATGGACACTGGCGCCCTCCCTGCGCTCCGCCAGCCGGAAGGAACAAGGACTCCTCAGAATTCTTATGAGCCCATTTTGCTGCTCATTCACTCAGCCCTGAGCATCACGTTTCATGCAAGTTCGCTGGAGACACACACACCGCTAACCAAGGTCAGGGGACTCCTGAACTAAAATTCTCCCATGTGGCAGAATCCCTGTATGCCCAGTCACAGCTCAAGTCCCAGGCCTTCATGGAGACCCTGGGGAAGCCGAGGTTTAGGAACACGCTCACTTGCCCACTCCCCCTCTTGGGGTCAAGTCTGTTAACTCCCTTTAAAAAATGCTCAGTGCCACAGCGACCTTCAGAGGAGGCACAAGCCACATCACCTGGATCTGCATTTGGTTGTGGCTCGGATCTCAGCCTTTCATTATGGGAAGGACCATGACAGGGAGGGGGAGACGAGGAGGAAGGGAGAACAGTGACACTAGCCCGGGCATCTCGGCCTGCAGGACACCAATTGGTTACCAAGTCCTTCCCTTTGCCTAGAAGAAGCTGGAAACCAATTCAGAAAGTCAAGTGCCTCAGTGAGATCTTTCCTGAAACTTCCACATCACGCCTGCGAGCCCAGCCACGGCCACGCCCAGCCAGTGGGGTTGGCTGTGTACCTTCCTCCTCTGAGCCTGTTGCATCTGCAAAGCTGTGGCTTTTTATTGTTTGTCTGCCCAGACCACACCCTTCTGCTGATGAACCATTCCCAACCTTAAAGCTGATGCACATGCCCCCCTCCCCCATGGTGCTCCCCCGAAGCCGGCACCTTGGCATACGGAATCCTTGAAGGTGAGTGAGTCTGAGAAAATGGCAGAAGCAGGAAGGTCACCCTGACTTTCTCCCTGACCCTTTCCACCTGAAACAAGTCGTAAAACCTTCATGGGAGAGGTGCCCCCTGACACCCCAAGGAAAGGACCATTCTTATCTCTGAAGACAAAGGGACTCGGAGGAGAAGCTGAGCAGATGACACTACAGTCACTTCATGCCTGGCCGGTCCCTGCTCCCTGCCTGTCCCTCCAGCCCAGCATACAGCACTCAGGTCCAACCACTGCTGTGGGTCTTCATTCCCGTACTGAAGGCTCCTGTGTCACATAAAACTTGTATTAATTACATTATGAAACTTTTTTCTGCTAATTTGTCTTTGTTTTCAGACCCACCAGGTGACGTCATGCTGCATCCCTGCAGACACAGGAGAAGCGTGATCCCGGGAAGGCTCCCCATGCTCTCCCGGGAGCCGGGGAGTGGGGCTCGGGCGCTGCTGTGGGAATGTGAGTCTAGGGTGGCTAGTGTCCGGCAGGGGAGACAGAGATGGACAGAGCCAAGGGACAGAGTGAGGGGGAGGGTGCGGCAGCATCCGCCCGGTCCAATCGTCCCTGAAGCCGCATCCACGGCTGGAATTGGTTTTGTGATGATTAAATGCATTGTTTTTGGGGGTTTTTTGCATAAGCTACTTGGAATTGGTCTCTCCTACATCTAATAGAAAAAGAAGTTGGATTAATAAGTCACCTGCCTTAAGGAGGATTGTATTAGGGGATGGAAATGTTCTAACTAGTTCATGGTGGTGCTCGTACTCCTCTTGTAAGGTTACAAGCATCATTGACTGTTACACTTAAAGCAAATGCATTTTAGTGCATACACATTACATATGCAATCAAGCTATTAAAAAAGAATTACTGCTTGACACAACCAGTGTTTTTAAAAATTAAGATAATTATTATTGTTGTTGGATCTATAGTCTTCGTTTTTTCATTCATTCAATAAAATTTTGTTTCATAACCATTATATTTCAGAAAATATACTAGGTGCTGGGCATATAGTGGTGAGTAAAAAGAAACTCTTTGATTTTATAGGCTATTATTCTAATTCTTTTTAAATTTTAATAGATGTCCTAGTCACTTTCAGTTATTCTCCTTACATTCTTTCATTTTCATATAATTCACATTTATTTCAAACTGAAATTTAAAGTAGTGAGGACAGACCCTCTGATCACATGGAGAATATATTTGTAGTTAATGCCATGTGGACTTGGGGATCTACCAGCAAACTGCCGTGTGACTTTAAGCAACTTTCTTGCTCTCACTAACCTTGAGCCGTCTCATTCATAAAATGAGGCTTCTCACATCTACCTTCCAGGTTGTAGTGAGAATCTGATAGTTCGTGGATGCAAAATGCTGGCCTTGTAGGAAGTCAACAAGCATTAGTTCCTATTCCCTTCTCTAAACTATGGCATAGGCTCAGTGGAATGCTACGCTGCTGTAAAAAAGAAGGAATTCTTGCCATTCGCAGCAGTATGGATGGACCTGGAGAGCATTATGCTAAGTGAAATAAGCCAGTTGGAAAAAGTAAGTATCACATGATCTCACTCATTTGTGGAATCTAATGGACAACATAAACTGATGAACAAAAATAGGTCCAGAGACATAGAAGCATGGAACAGGCCATCCAACCTCAGTGGGAAGGGAGGGAGGGCTGCTGGTGATTAAGAGATCAACCAAAGGACTTGCATGCATATAAGCATAACCAACGGTCACAGACAATAGGGGGTGAAGGCCTGGGCTGGGGTGGGGGCAGGCTGGGAGAGGTCAATGGAAGAAAAGGGGGACATCTGTGGTACTTTCAACAATAAAGAATTTTAAAAAATAAAACGTGGTGTAGACTAATGTTACAGTGAAGGCTCCGAGGCTGTGCCTGGTGAGAGGCTACGCACCCTTCTTCAATGATGAAGTATCGGAGTTTGTCATTGCTGTCGCGTGAGGGTGTGGCATAGCACTTGTTCAGCGTCAGGATCAAATGGGTGGCATCAGCTCCGACCACAAAGACCCCGACGTACAGCACGTCTCGCGTGGTCAGCACCACCTCGCCCTGGCGGTACGGGTGCTTGTAGGAGGCATTTTTGTAGAGCGCCATCTTGGTGGTGAAGCTGCCCTCTTGGGTTGGAACGGTCAGGTTAATGACACTGAAAGGGAAAAAGACCACGAGGCAGGGGGCCCCGGCAGTTATGTTTACTCAGTTACCTGCCACTTCTCCACCTGAACATGCAGAGGGAGGCAATGCAGGCAGCAGTGGGGTCCAAGGCTGCACTGTCCACATGGTCCCCTCCAGGCACGTGTGGCCATGAAATCATCGTAAATTACCATCAGTCCTCAGCAGCCCCCCCCCCCCCCGGCCCAACAGCTACTGTGCTGGATAGGACAGACAGAGAGCATGCCCCGCACTATAGGAAGTTTCACTGGGTGGTGCCACTCTCAGGCAGGAAGTCAGATACGGAAATAGGGACTGTTCTTCCTCGTGCTTCAGAGCTCAGAGCTGGCTGGTACGATGGCGCTCCCTTACCCACCGGCCGCAGCCTCACCTCAGCATGGGCTTCACCACCGAGTCCAAGGAGATCTTGATGTCCAGCTCGTAAGCACACGAGAACTCCACGTTGATGGTCCGGTCCCTGGTGATGATGTTGCCCGTGTTGTTGGCGCTTTCTATCCAGATTGTGTTCTTGTACATGATGTGAGTGCCATTGGACTGCAGAGCAAAGGGGGTCAGAGAGCGTTAAATCTGGGAGGAGCCCATGGCTTGCATTTCAAATCCATGTCCTGAAGTGGAGAAATGGCTTCATTTCATACACCCCTACGAGGCCAGTATAAATCAGTATGGAGGTAGCCTCCGCATTTACTGCAAGTACTACAATAGATGCCAGCAGCACCCTCCAGTCAGACATCCTTGATGCCCACAGAGGGTGAGTTCATGAATTCTGGCTACAACCAGCCCCAGTTTCTCTGGGCACCCAAGCAGGGGGCAGCATGAAGCACTGCCAGCAGCAGGTCACGTAAGTCTTCTTTTAATTCTTAATTCAAAATCTCTCCTCCACCAAATCCTTTCCCAGACAGGCCCACACGAACCAAAATGAGCAAATGCAACTTCCTCTTCTTACTCCTTTCTCTCCCTGATAGAAGTGTTAACAACTCGTTATGAACAGAAAGAACGAAAGCACAGACAACAGGAGGGAGAGAAGCAGCAAGAGGCTATGCTAACCTACAGTGGGGAATCCGACACCACAGCTGGAGCCCGGCTGCATTTCTCTCTCTTTTTTTTTGTCTTATTTTTTCCACTTTATTTTTTTTAAATCTTTATTGTTCAGATTATTACAGTTGTTCCTCTTTTTCCCCCCAATAGCTCCCCTCCACCCGGTTCCCACCCCACCCTCTGCCCTTCCCTCCCCATGTGCTCATCCATAGGTGCACGATTTTTGTCCCGTCTCTTCCTGCACCCCCCACACCCCTTTCCTCCCGAGAATAGTCAGTCCACTCCCTGTCTATGCCCCTGATTCTATTATAATCACCAGTTTATTCTGTTCATCAGATTATTTATTCATTTGATTTTTAGATTCACTTGTTGATAGATGTGTATTTGTTGTTCATAATTTGTATCTTTACCTTTTTCTTCTTCTTCCTCTTCTTAAAGGATACCTTTCAGCATTTCATATAATACTGGTTTGGTGGTGATGAACTCCTTTAGCTTTTCCTTATCTGTGAAGCTCTTTATCTGACCTTCAATTCTGAATGATAGCTTTGCTGGATAAAGTAATCTTGGTTGTAGGTTCTTGCTATTCATCACTTTGAATATTTCTTGCCACTCCCTTCTGGCCTGCAAAGTTTCTGTTGAGAAATCAGCTGACAGTCGTATGGGTACTCCCTTATAGGTAACTGACTTTTTTTCTCTTGCTGCTTTTAAGATTCTCTCTTTGTCTTTTGCTCTTGGCATTTTAATTATGATGTGTCTTGGTGTGGTCCTCTTTGGATTCCTTTTGTTTGGGGTTCTCTGCGCTTCCTGGACTTGGAAGTCTATTTCTTTCACCAGGTAGGGGAAGTTTTCTGTCATTATTTCTTCAAATAGGTTTTCAATATCTTGCCCTCTCTCTTCTTCTGGTACCCCTATAATTCTGATGTTGGTACGCTTGAAGTTGTCCCAGAGGCTCCTTACACTATCTTCGTATTTTTGGATTCTTTTTTCATTTTGCTTTTCCGGTTGGGTGTTTTTTGCTTCTTCGCATTTCAAATCTTTGACTTGATTCTTGCGATCCTCTGGTCTGCTGTTGGGAGTCTGTATAATATTCTTTATTTCAGTCAGTGTATGCTTAATTTCTAGTTGGTCCTTTATCACAACATCGAAGGTCTCA